AAGACCAGCAAAGGGATGAGCTGAGGGAGGCATGAAGGCAGTTGGCAGTTCGGCACAACTTTCAGCAGCTGGTACTGCCTCAGACTTCAGGAGGAATGAGGTGAGAGGTTCCCAAGAACGCAAAGCAAAATCACAATCATTAGAAAAAGAAGAACTTACACAAGAAGACAGTATGTCATCACAGTCCACTACTTGACTCAGCAGATGGTAATAATAAAAACTGTGAAAGCAAAATGCAAGGGGGAAGATTACTGTATTAAGAAGACTAAATAGTAAGTATAAGAAAACTGAAACACCCTACTCCCTGTGTCATGACTGGAACGCATAAGCTCTAACGTCAGCAAAATAAAGAAGCATTTACAAGGCTTTCTTTCTTGGGGGTGAGTGGTCATCCCATCAGAGGACCCAAAAATACTTTGTTTTAGAATTATTTTATTGCAGTGTGTTGGAGAAAGTCTGGCTACAGCAAAAGTCCCATTTTAAGGTAGTTTTCAAATATCAGCTACATAGCAGGATGTGTTACAGTCACCCAGTAGGGTCCACTTCAGAAGCTGCCTCTAAAATCATAACATGTATGAGTTCCCAGGGCTGCTTGTCTGTCTCTGAAGTGCAAATGAGACACCAGTTTCCCTCAGATATAGCTATGGGCTGTGAGGAGAGCCGAGGGACAACTGAACGTGATCAGAAATGTCTCCTGTCATCAGCAAGACTGCAACAGCTGGGCCAGTGACCAGAACAAGAGAGGTCCCTGGGAGAGTCCACTTCCTGGCCAGATGTGGTGATGAACAGATAGTAGCTAGTCCAGTCACAGCAGGGAGAATTAGTTGTTTCTAGATCAAAGGAAAGTCTTTGGATCATTTCTACCCTCCCTCACATCTTCAAAAGATAAAAAATTAGACAGATACATAGTGATCTGTCCAGTCTCCCAACTAAATTCTATAGGTTGTAAGACACAATTGAAGGTTTTTATTCGGGTGGACACAGTTCCTGGGAGGTATGCCTTCATTGAAGACTGCCTTAGAACTCTAAATATTCTTCTCTTATAATTTGTGTTATAATACTGAGTCTATTTGTTCATACTTAGTTTCCTCGTCCCAGTCAGGGTATGTGATTCCCAAAAGCTCCTACTTGCTAGCTGAGAGATCAGCGGCCAGTTTTATCCCTTCTCAGATACTTCCTCTCTTTCTCTCTGAAATGGGAAAACCACTGCACAGGGTTATTAGGACAGGTCAGTTGAACTGTACCTGGCACTGTGTGCTGGGCACATCCAGGGATTGGAGAGGGGCAAGTTTTGTTGATTTTATACCCCCTACTCTTTATTCCCATATTTGAGGAACTAGCTTATCAGTCAAGAGAGAAGACTGTCAACAGAGCATTTAAGATGTAAAGATGAAAGGCAGAAGAGGCACAGGAAAGGTCCAAGTCCAAACTGCCAGTCAGATTCTGTGGAACTGAAAGTATGGGAGAAGAAACTCCACAAAAGTAGAAGAAAGCTCCTCCATCAGAAAGGGCAAAACCAGGGCCTGGGGAGATGGCCCAGACAGGAATGGATTTGCAGCACACTCATAAGGACATGAGCCTCGTCCCTAGCACCCATGACAGCATGCACCAAATGTTTGTAACCTGAGTAGGGACCTGGCTTGTTCAGAAACAGATGGAGCTCTGGGACTTGCTGGTCACTCAGTCTAGCCAAATTACTAAACTCGGGGTTCAGTGAGAGATCCTGTCTTTAAAACTGAGACAGGAAACAATAGGGGAGGACACCCAACTTTGACCTCCCACACCCACGTGAATACACAGACACACACACACACACACACACACACACACACACACACACCTCCAGGCTCTACACTGATATGGCTAGTTTTAGTTGTAAATTTGCACAACCTAGCATTACTCTGGAAGTGAATCCAAAGAGGGATTATCTAGATCAGGTTAGAACCTGTGGGGATGACACTGGTGGATGTTCTTGATTCCGTTAAGATGTGAAAAGACCCGGTGCCCTGTGGGCAGCATCATTGCCTGGATTTGGGTCCCAGACTGTACGAGACTGGAAGAGGCTCGCGTGATCACATCCACATGTCTCTGCTCTTCAGTACGGCTATGCTGCGATTAGCTACTATAAATCCTTGCTGCCTTGACTTCCCTGCTACAATGGACAACCTGGAATCACAAGCTAAAGTAAGCCTGTTCTCCCCACAATTGCTTTTTTGTTGGGGAGGTTTATCACAACAACAGAATAAAGCTGATATAGACCCTTCAGTGTAGTCTCCTCAAAATTTAAGCAAAGTATTGTCGTTAGTTTTTTTTTTTAATAAACCTAATAAACTTTAAGCATGTGGCTGGTAATGGCAGGGCTAAGATGAACCACCAGGGTCAGAGAGCTCTGCAAACAGGTCTTATAAATCACTATGCGTATTAAACAAGATAAAAACAGATGCTGTCCTTGGCACAAAGGCTAGTCCACGAGCAGGGGCTAAAATCATTGCCAGCTTCCTTATATCTATACACTGCACACATCCCTCTTAGACTGAGCCCAGCAGAGAGAGATGGTGGCACTCCGGCTCCTAAGGAAGTGGAGCCTCGAACCCTCAACATTCAGCAGCATACAAAGAAGAATTTGAATGGTCTATACTGAGGGTTCACCAATCTTAAAGTTCTTTAACCCACCCCAACTTTGTTCTGGTAGATCCAAATGCTGAGGCAGGTGCAGTAAGCCAGCTTGAACCCTAAACCTAACCACGTTATTTCTCATTGTACCCTGACCTTCTTCAAAAGCATGGGCAAAGAGACATTGGCAGTGATGGCAACCACAAAGACAAGAGACAAAGCAGCTGGGATTGGAGAGTCCTCTGCCAGGCCCAGAACCCAGGGGGAGTCAGCCATGATTACAATGGTAAATAAAGTTGATGCCTACCCTGGGCGCTGGACCCTGCCAGGGAGGGATGGGGAAAGAGGATTCTTGTAATTGCGCTAGTGCAGGCTCAGTTCTCATGAGATTCTCCACAGCAGCCTCGTCTGTCCCCAGGCTGGGTCCTACAGCAGCACCTGTTCCAGCAGAAGTAGTTTGGCGAGCCAAAAAAAGAAGTGATTCATGCAGGCCACCTGTAAAGGAATCTGATGCCTAACAACCTGTGTGATGCTCCTAATTGCTTAATTTGCTTGGCGCCTCTCACTGATGGGTGCTAGCGCAGAGTTAAAGACCATTGCCTGCTAATGTGGTTTTATCCCCTGTGCCATCGTTTACCACTGTGAGAAACTCGGTCATTTGAAAAACCCAAGCACCATATTTTCACCCACCAACTCATTTTTAGTATCGCTCATTTTTAGTATCCCTTTATCCATTCTGGTTGTAAACATCTTCCTTCCTTGGGCTTTTTCGGTTACTTCTTCCCTGCTGCCTAATTTAGAGTATAACGATTTTCTCATTTTCCCCTCCAGCTGGTACTAGCCTTGGTTGCTTCCATGGTGTGTATCTTCAAAATGTCACACTGTTGCCCTGGCTTATTTTTAAACCCCAGAAAGATGGCCATCCTCACACCTCTTAGAGAAGTTTTCCTGATGGCTTCCCACGAGTCTCCACCGCAATGATGGTACGGCAAGCCAGCAACACACAGCTGCACACCCTTGCAAAGGAAAGACAAGGAAGCAGTTGTGTGCCTTCTGCTACTATTAAAACACCAAGGTGCGTGATAATCAGAGCAGAAACACGTGATGAGCATGTCCCGCGAGTCAAGCTTCTATTGTATTTTCATGTTGCATTGTCAAAATCCAAGGCTAACTAAACTGCTTAAGACGCCCATCAATAAGACTCCATTGAGACAAAGAGTTTATTCTGCTTCTGCACCTCTGGCCCCTAAAAAGGCTTGGCGGTCCATTGGTTGTTTCTGAAGATAGAGGGAAAATAGTTTGTGACAAAACTCTACAATAAAATAATAAATACTTTATCCTTTTTGTCTGACAATGTAAGGACCAATTTGATGACTTTCAAAGTTCTCTTTTGGATTTTCTTTCTTTTTACACCAGTATACATTACCAGCAGAACCAAGTTCTATAACTGAGGAATGACCAATGTCAGCAGTTTGTGCTCTGTATGAATAAAACTCATACAAAGACTATTCCAGTGATTTATTAAGGTTAACCCTAGCAATGTACTCGGGAACGACTGCTCCAGCACTTAAGTTGCAGTTTTAAAAAGAAATTAAAGGAGATCTCCAGTAATATTGCCAACTCTTTCCTCAAAATTCAAATAAAATTGGGCTGAGCAAATAGCTGAGTGTGTAAAGACACACTTGGAGCACAAGCCTGATGTGAATACACACACACAAAGACACACCCAGAGCTGGATGGAGCAGCCCATGAGTCTACCACCTCACCATGGCTCGGTGGGGAGATGGGAGCCTGAGGCAAGAGACCATCCCAAAGCATAAATGAACCCTGTCTAAACAAGGGGGAAAAAGAAAGGCCCAATCCCTGAAGGTTACCCCCTGCGCCCACACACATGGACGACAAACAAGCAGCAGCCACACCTCATGCATCCCAACACATAAAGCCAAGAGCTTCTTTCAGAGTGCTTCAAGGAATCCAGGGGTCAGAGGTCAGGGCACTGTATATTGCTCAATCGACAATGTCCACAAAGTGAATTCCAGTCTTACAGGGACAAGAGATTAATTATGAAGGTGTTACAATAGTTAACTTATTGGCAAAAAGAGTTAAAAACAAACTAAACTTGACCCAGACAGTCCCCTCAATCCTTACACACAAGTTGGTTTTTTTTTTCTTTCTTCTTTTTAAATTATTTTTTCTGTCCTGGGGCTTGAACTGAGGGACTCACACAGGCTAAGCTACATAGCCAATCCTAGCATTTGTTTTTAAGAAAAAGCCTAACTCCTTTCTGTTCTCTTTTGTCTTAAAAACTAATTTTAATTTTCGCTAACATTACACACATTGGCATAATTTCATAGATAATAACAATTAGGAACACCAATTAGGTTTGCAACTTTTTTATTGTTTTTACTTTTGCATTGAAAAAGCACTTTTAGGGCACAATAGATCTTTTAATTCAACAGTAAGAATGATTTAAATTCCTAAGTTACTTGAACAAAAGAACTACATTAGTTAGGAATTGGGGGGTGTACCTCAGGAAACTCACACTTGAACCAACTGAGGCAGAGATTTTAGGAGGATCATTACCTATTTTGTCTTTCAATGACATCAAGGCCTGGAGTACTTGTCTAAATGCAGCAAGAAGCTGAGACACCCTTAATGGTGGCCACATTGGGGGCATGGCTGGAATCCAGGCACTAATAATTCTCGGTTTCCCGAGTCAGAAGAGTACTGGATTGGCTACTTGGTCGAGCAAAATTAAATACAGGAAAAAAAAAAAAAAGCAAAGCACAAAAGTACAGAAAGGAAGGCGATAAGGCAACGGGCAGCATTGTAAACTGGCAATAAGGCAGACTCGGATGCTTTGGTTTTTCTTCTCCCTCCTATTTCTCTCCTTCTTCCCTTCCTCCTACTAAGATAACAACCAGTCAAACCAATGGATAAATTATTTTTTTTTTACTTCACAACAATGTCTCTCTCCCCTTTCTTAGATCCTTTCTTTCCCCACTTCCCCCTTACACCTAGGTTTTTGCTGGACAGGATGCCCCTCAGAATGCACAGACGGCATCACTAGTGTTAATGCTAGAACGGTTTCAGAGTTGCCTATGTTATGGTGAGGGTTGGGACTGCTTCGGAGTTGCGGGCGTGGGCTTTCCACTACGCATTTCCACACTTGGGGTTCATGGCGTCATCTTCTGGGCTCTGGGATTTGGATGCACGCTCCAGGTCCTGCTGCTTCTTCAGCTGCTGCATCTTCACGTTCAAATCCAGTAAAGTTCGGGCCATCTGATGGTTCTGGAAACGCAATTCCAGCTAAAGAGAAAAAGAATAATAAGGGATTTTATTAGTTTGAGATATAGATTAAATGAAACTTCTCTCTGGCTGCACTTGAGAAATAAGGAGTTGGTAGGAAAGGCAAGTAAGACAGAGAGAAAGATGAATTTCTCCTCTCGCTCTCCCTTTCCGACCGTTGGCTCCGGCTGTTAAAGTAGCTTCGTCAACAACAAGGTAAAAACCCAGATAAATAAATAGCTTTGGAAATGGCCCTGAAATGAAAACAAAAAGAGCTGATGCACAACGTTGTCCGTGTGAAAAATATCTACGCACCAAAGGCTGTTTTCAAGCAATGGCGTGGGATCCCACTGACATCATTTATCTTTATGAGCTTTCGGAGCCTCGGGATAACTGCCGGAGGCCACCTGAGTGCTCAGGAGCCGGGCCCATTGACTTGATTACTTGTCATTTCAAGTTTTCAGGATTTTAAATGGCCTCCCTGCTGAGGAAAAACCTATAACGACACCTCGGAGGCACATGTAGGGTTATATGCCCTTATATAATCTAACACTCTTCGCTCTAGAACAAAGCCTGTTCTGTAGCAAGACTGATTCATGACCTCCTCCAATGGGAGTTTATGAGGCCCCCGTGTGTTCCAATAAAATTTTAAAAATTACATCTCCAAGGACAGGTTACTTAGGAGGCAGGCTACCAACCAAGTCTGGTCCAGCTGTATTATAACCTAAAGCTAAAGATCAACTACTTGCATATTTCATCAGTTGAAGTCACGCTTGATGCAGTTTGTATAATAATGTTTTCCATGTACCATCATCTTCTATCAGCTCGACATCAGTTGCCCTCGGGATAAGCCAGGGCACTGTAAGAGGAAACCGCAAATACTGCATTGGCGAGTCTTCCTCAATTTGCAAACGAAAATGTTGGGCAGCGGCATCTTTTTATTTTCCTCGGGTGTTTTTATTTTTTATTCTTTGCACTTGGAACCACTTCTCCGGAAGCAAGAACTAGAGATGTTAAAGGAGACGGACATCCAAGGCACCCAGCAAACAAACAGAAGGCAGATCACATAGCCATCGCCATAAAAAAGCCCCATAAACTACCACCAGACTGTTGTCTGATGTATTCCTCAGGCTCTAGAATCCTGCCCTGTTCTCCTTGCTTCACTTCCTAGCACTGTTCCCATGACAGCTTTTTTCACAGGGGGTCAGATACCTTGCCAGTCTCCAGAGACATGCCGTGCTGAGACACACCTGCATCCCATCCTCTGTTCTAAGACTCACTTTCCCTCTTCTCTTCCCACGGGATGCAAATAAAAATCAATGCTTTCTGAAACTCCCCCGTCACCACGGTCAGGCATCGTGGCCTCTTAAACGTGTTTCCATGGCGTTCCGTTTCCATGCCTCTGATAACTCACAGACTACACGAGACCCTACTGCTGAAGGTGGACCTCGGCTATGTGTGCAGTGTCTTGGCATCCAGGGTCTCGTTGTCCTTGATAGAACACTGAGTGACAGAAGGGATGAATCAATGAGATGATGGATATCTGTCCTCAACTTTCATGCCAAGTATCAAGGTATAAAATTACTGATAAGGATTCGCCCATCTAAGTAAAGGATGTGTAATTCACACTTATTTGCGAAATTCAAACACTTGTGGTTTTTAAACTTCTTTCATCACGGATCCCTTTGAGAGCCTGATGAAAGAGGCAAAACTTCTCTGAGGGAATGAAAAAAAAAAGACTATCTACATAGAAAACTTTAGGTTTAACTCAGATATCCAGTCAAAGAACTTAGAAATTAATGTCATTCAATAGTAAGCTAAACAGAACATATTATACATAATGTTACCATCATTGCTCCTTACATAAACTCCATTGTTAATACATGATATCTGAGCATTCTATACATGAGAACACTGATTCCCGTAGAGATCTAGCTAATGGCCCAGATCAAAATCTACTTCTAGTAGTGATGATACTGAGCTAAGTATCCATTCCCTTCGCTTCACAGGGACTAGGGAATTCCTGCAGATACGGACCAGGCCCTACACTCCAGGGAAACAGCATCTGGCTGTGTGTAAGATTCTCCACTTTCTTTCCAGAAATTTTAGGTTCTGTTTCGATTTTTTTCATCTCTTTACTTATGCCTGTCTGTGTTTGCATGTGTGAGTGTAGGCATGCTTGTGCCACAGTGTTCCTTTGTGCCCATCAAGGAGTGGGTTGTCTCCTGCCACCTTGTGGGGACTGGGGATTGAACTCAGGTCTTCAGGCCTGTCCACAAGCGCCTCTAAAGCGCCACCTCCTTGGCTCAATCCTCAGTTCTCGGTATGTTCTTATTTGCCCTTTAGGCAAAATCAGCTTCCAAGATCTATAATAATTATAAAAAACAACAACAGTCAACAAAGAGTGCGTATGGCCTAGGCATGCTTATAATATAATCTCATACAATTATTACAGTCCTCTCGTGAGAGTATCTCTGCATTGCAGATGGATAATCAAACTCAATTCGACTAGTTCACATTCTCAAAGCTGTAGGGCCAGCAAGTATTAGCAGACTCTGTTAACTCACTACCTTCTCTCACCCATAATGCATTACTTGTCTAAACCTCCAATGGCAAAGCGACTTGTTGGAATGTTAAGGTTAAAGGTGCCTCAGCACTTGTCCGGCAGGACTTTGCTATGAGTCAGCAAGAGATGGGGGAAGGGAGTGACATAACCCAACTCAGCAGCATAGAGGGTTCTGCCAGGTCCAGGCATTCCAGGGTGGCATCCTGACCCACAGCACCAACCTCCTGGTGTGCAGTGAGGTGACTTCACCAGGCACCAAGGCAGCTTCCCCATCCAGCTTCTCGGGCTCACCATTTATACTCCAGATGAGAGCGTAATGCATTCCTTATCAAATCCAGAATGCTACTGTGGCTGAATTGGATTTATTATCGTGTTGCCCTTCTCAAAATCAGAAATAAAATCGATCACCTGCCGAAGTTTCTAAACTCTGTTCTGAAGGGGTGGCTATTTGTCGCATTCGATGCAGGGAACTTTCGAAGTTTCCATTATGCAGCATTCATACGCATCACCATTTTAAAGTCTGAGTTCTTTATACTTTTGCCCTTTTCAAATTGTCTAATTTAAGTTTTTTTTTCATTAAAAAAGTCATCTAAAGTTTCTACAAACACTCCTTCCTTTTAAATGTCCAGTCGTTTTCCGAATTCTTAGCAAAGGCTAGAATAAAAATAATTGGCATGCCTTGGAGTTTCTGATAGACTCATCCTATCCTTCTAGGTTGTCGGTTTCACTGAAACTTCCATCTCCACACGCTAAGCATAAATAGACTAAGAGTTCGCCATTGAGAAGCTTCTAGACTAGAGGATGGAAAAGTAGAGAAGCAGTCTGAAGGGTTCCTGGAGTCTGGGCCAGCACTGAACCTTGGGCCAAGCCCTGCTCTATGGAGTTGTGACCCAATGAGGTCTCAACACCCAGCCTGGAGGCAATCGGGCGCCCAGGAGAGATCTCCCACCCCAGCCGCAAGCCTGTGCCCCCTACCCCGGGGTCCTCCTATGGACTACTCCCCAGCTTCGGAGCCGAGTACTCCGTTAAGGAGTTCGAACCCCGCCGTGCAGCCCGCGCTCACCAGCTCCGCGCGCAGCCGGGCCAGCGCGCACTTCATGCGCACCCGGGTCCGCTCCTCCCTCGCTGCCTCCGCGGCCGCAGCCACCGCCGCCACCGCCTCCCGCGCTCGCCTGGCGCGCCCGCGTGCGGCCGCCCGCTGGAAGGCGCGCTCCAGCTGTCGCCGGAGGTGTTCCAGTACCGGGGTGGAAGCCCGGGCCTGCTCCTGGGCCTCGATGCGCCAAGTGCCACAAGCCGTGCGGTGCACGGAATGAAAGGCTGGAAACCACAGCGCAGCCCTGCCAGAGACCCCGTGGAGTCCCCGGGACATCCGCTGTCTGCAGTGGCTGTAGTCACCTAGACACATCGCGGTTCTTTCCGGGGCGCTCTGACTGGGGATTTGGTTGCAAGTTGGAGCTTTTTAAGGCAGATGGGACGGGGGCGGGGGCAATTAACGGAACAGGCAGGACCCTGGCCTTGGACGCTGTTACTTCCCGGCCACTCAGGGCGCTGCTCTGTTTCTTGTCCATCTCCTCTATCTTCTCTACCTCATGGCAACAAGGGAAGACCTTGTGACTAGAGGTTCCGACTGAATCGTTTGTAATTTTTTTTCCAGCTCCTTAGAGCTCGGTCTTTGAGAATGCATAGGGACTGGAACAGTCAACCCGTGCAGGTGGAATGCAAGGAACAAGCTGAAGGTTTGCAAGGCAAAGGATATTTGACAAAAAGTCTTCCCAGTTGCCTGATTTCTTAGTACTGTGCACTTTTGGAATAGTTTCTGACTTTCTACACTTTGAACCCTGTGTCTGGTGTGTTAGAAAGTCTAGATGCCCAGAGAGTATGGCAGCCCACCTGTAATTCCACCCTTGAAAGGCAGAGACATTGTGTTCCCACAGCAAGCTGGCTGGGGAAACTAACTGTATAGAAAAACTTTGAGCTTGCTTTAAAATCTCTGTCTCCAAGCATAAGGTGGAAGAGCTATCAGAGCAAGATTCCTAACAGCAAACTCAGAACAGCCACACGCACTCGCAAACAACACACACACACACACACACTCACACAGGTGGGGGGCAGTGTTTATTATCATTCCTCAGTTTGTATGTGAATGATTCTGGAGACTGCCTGAATGGCAGTCCGTGACTTTCATGACACTGTAGGCAAACATCAGCCAGCTGTGCTGTCCCCTGAAGAGGAAGTCAATATATGAGCTAGGAAAAGAAGGAGGCAGATCAGGAGAAAAGAGCTGAGCAGACCAGCCTGGCACTGAAACAAACGTGGAGTATCCAGAATGGTTCCAAAATGAGAAAGAACAGGGTATCATCTCACAAACAAAGAAGCAACTCCTGTCCCTGTAGTGTGTTTCTTCAATGCTCTCATTCGAAGTGGGTCACACCGTCACTCATCAGTCCCAAGTGCAAGATGCTGACGGCTCACTTTCTTGAACTGTGGTATGCCTGGAGCCATACAGTCAGCAGGCAAGGAAATGGAGAATCAGGATTTGATCTCACATCTATATGACTCCAAGGGTCATCGTATTTCCCCTCTGCCACACCAAGCTACATACACTTGCTTTTCGTTGCCAGCATATTTCCGCCCGTAAGCCACTTCCCTGTGTCCTTTTGGACACCAGGAGGAGTTTGCATCTCGTATCGTGTTTCCAATTTATACAGTGCAGGGGCGAAACCAAAGCTGAGAATTCTGAAGCCTAACTCCATCTCGGAATCCCTCTAGGGAAATGGGTTGGTTACTAAATTTACCTCCTTGATAGATGAATAAAATGGGTGAAGCTCATGTCTATCTACGTCCTTCAAAGAGCACACCTACAACAGGCTGCTTCTGCCTGGTCCCCTTTCCCTGGGAAATAGTCACCCAGATCCTTTCACGTGTCCTCTAACTGTGCTGGGAGCCTCCAGGCTAAAGTCACGTCTTTGGCTGTCCTCTTCACAATCACTCCTTTGAGCAATAAGCTCTGATTGTTCCCTCTGCACACACAATGTCCTTGAGCACTGCTTGCAAAAAGAAGCAAATATTTCTCCGGGCTTCTGAGAATAGAGAATGTTCCTTAAAAGCCTTAAAATAAATATTTGTAATATTTTCACAAACCAGCTTAATAATTTGGCCCATTGAAGACTCAGTGGAGCACATGGTCCTTTCACTCTCTGGTTAACTAAGGGCTGAAAAGCATTCCTCTTTGCTTGTGGAATGTCCAAAAGCCATTCACTGTCTTCTTCATTTCAGTTGCCAAGATTGTGGGAACAAAGGCTTCCCAGCTCTAGCCCTTGTGGCCTTGTGACTTTGCATTAACACTGTGGGTTACTTTGTTTACAAGCAAGATAAAGGGGCTAAGCAGCATCTCCTCCCTACCCAGCTGGATACATTAACTGAAGCTGCCAGCAAGGCACAAAACAGTGCTCCAAACATCATGGGAATGCTTTAAAATAAACTTGGCATTCTACTTAGATGCAAATAAACTACCCAAAACTGATTTCTTTCACCAAAAACAATATTTTCAGGATTATTTCTAGATAAGCCACAAAACCACCATTGTTATAGATTTTGCTTATAAATGAAGACAAGGCAATCGCTACAATCATGGAAAAACTTCAGAAGAAAATAAACAAGCCAGTTATCTTGACGCATGGCCTCCGACTCTTGTCTGAAACATGTAGCAGAAGTCTCTGACATTTACCATGCTAAAAGGCTTACAGAGAAAGCAAAGGTTCGCTGAAGGAATGCAAGCGGCCGCCACCACATACAGAGCAGGAATGTCGTCTGCACTTCTGTCTCCACTTTAACTGTAACTTGCTTCTTTAAGGTCATCAAAAAAATGACAAAAAACCCACACCGGCCCTCGAATGGGCTCACAAGCTTCTCTCTGGTGATCCCCATAGCTGTCCATTCTAGTTGTGTTTGCTTGTAGCTGTCTTATTGTTGCGGTGCAGGGCCATGTGCATACTAGTAAATATTCCACCACTGAGCTTTCTTCTCTGTCCTTGGGTTTTTTAAGAGTTTCCCTGTGTAGCCCAGGATGCTTTGAGTTCATTCTGTACCCCAGACTAACCTGAAACTTAAATTCTCCTAGTCTACTTCCCTGGGGCAGCCGTTTCAGATTTTTAACAACACACTTAGAGCTCCGACTAGTGGATCTTTGTGAATCCATGGCAAGCCTGGTGCATATAGTGAGCTCCTGATCAGCCAGAGCTACATAAGGAGACCCTGTCTTGAATGAATGAATGAATGAATGAATGAAATGACTAAAACAACGTTAGAGTACCACCAGCAGAGATCATTCACAGAAGTGTGGCCTCATCAAGGCCATCCTCTGGAAGAACAGACAGGTATTCAAAGCATCAGAGTTCAAACAATGACCATTTTAGGCAGACCCTCGATGGCAGGTATAGGCATTCTAGAGGCCTATAAGCAGATATTTGGTGAGTCAGTAGCCTATTATGCCTACTTTTCTCCCATGGTCAAACATAAGAAGTTTGATTTGGGTTTGTTTTTTTTTTTTTTTTTTTTTATGATCTTGACCTCCCCCTTGCTCACATAATCCCTCCTCCTTCTCTTCAACTGAACTCCAGAAGCTCAGCCCAGTTCTTGGCTGTGGATCACTGCATCTGCTTCCATCAGTTACTGGATGTAGGTTCTACGATGACAGTTAAGGTAGTCACTAATCAGATTACAGGGGAAGGCCAGTTCAGGCACCCTCAGAGAAATGCAAATCAAAACAACTCTGAGATTCCATCTTACACCTGTAAGAATGGCCCAGATCAAAAACACTGATGACAACTTATGCTGGAGAGGTTGTGGCAAAAGAGAGAAATGCCAGTTCAGGCACCCTCTCCACTATTGCTAGGAGTCTTAGCTGGGGTCATCCTTGAAAAACACACAAACTTTTAAAGGTAACACACATGTCTGCTTTAACACAGTGTGCACAAGTCAATTAAAGCTGATTTTTTTGTTGTTCTATGTTTGAGCTGGTAAAGGCATCTGTCAACTTTGTAAGTCTGTTTGAACTGCATAACCAAATTGTAATATAAATATCTATTCATGCCATAAGAAAGGATGGCACATAATAATAAGTCATGAGAACTCTGTAGCCAGCAAGATTTGTCATGTCTCACCTCATCTCCAAGTTGTTTCCGAGCAGATGGATCAACTTACATGTCACCTATCCTGTACGTAGTCTTTCTTGGCATCCTCCCCCATGTCTATAGTCAAGATACTCAGGAGTTACCCCCCAGTCAAATCTGATCTCTATTAACCCGGAAGGTGTAGCGCCTGCACCGCGAGAACCATTCGTGAGCCTCGGGCAAGGGCCTGGAGATTTAAACACAAAAAGAAACACAGACAGAGACACGGGTTATCCTTGAAACAGAATGCCCCAAGAATGCCCCCTGTATTGTGTTCAGGGGCAGCTTATATAGAGATAGCCATGCCCCAGCCAAAGCACCAGAAACCACTCTCCTGCCATCAGGAACTCCCTAGAGTCTCGCTCTCAGAGCAGCTAGCTGCATGTTGTCTCAGAGCAGAAGAAAACAAGTAAAAAGTTACCATGAAAACACGTGTAGAAGTAATTTACCTCAGACAATGAAGACCTAGTTTTGGAAGATACGGGGCGGGGGGAGTTCTATTTACCATCCAAACACACTTGCTCTTTTATCAGATTGAATTGTCGGGTATAATAAAGTATAGAGACCATGATTGATGAGAATATATAAAACCTCTTATATGTGGTGCTGTATAATGTCAGACTGCCAGTTTCCAGTCTGAGAAGATCATCACAGCACCGTCTCGGCATGAAATGGAAAGAGACTGTGTCTTCTAATGCAGTTTTATTATTTAGCACATCTCTACACTCTTCATCTTGAAGACATTTCCATTCCATCCCTCGGAGATTCAACAAAACCTGGTGCCCTGCAAGTGTGGAGATGAAAAGGCTTAGAGCATTGTTCTGAAAGGCCTTTTATGCACTGTGCTAATCAAGAGCTTTGAAAAATAAAATAAATGTCAAATTTATCTATATAACAATTTTGATACTCACTGTAATGAATCTATTTCCATCTTAACATACACAAATACTCAAGTGCCTGTTTTCTTTGTAGACCTCCATTTTGAAATGTCTGTGTATTCTGACAAAAATATTAACTAGAGACTATCGTATCTGCCACCAATGAGCATATGCTTGCAGTACTGCACGTAGCAGGATGCACAGTTCAAAGACACCCAAGCTGAGAACGACACCCAACAGACACAATCTATTTTCAATGGATGACACAGATTAAAATTTGCCAAAACGGTCTGTCCTTTTAACATTTGCGTGCTGAAATGGCTTCATCTGTTTATTACATATGTGTATTGGTTTTA